CCCCAAAACCCCAAAACCCCAAAACCCCTCTATTTAGAATTTTAAGTAAAATCGTAAAAATTTATATTAAATGTAATACCTTTTATTTTATAGTAATCCTTTTTCCTATGAAATTTAATTAAGAAATTTCAATAAGTTAGATCAACAACAGCCAAAGCAGCAGTTAACAACTCAATACCCATATTTTAAGATAAGGCATTATTGATTTTAGGATTTATGTAATCATCTGGGAAGCCATTATCTTCACTTCTGAGATGATTCCATAAATAATCTGCATTAATAAGAATATAATCTCTAATGCCTTGTATTTCCTAGGGATATACTGGATAGGCGATTTCTGCAAATTCACTTAGAAATCTGAAGTAAATTCCCATAAAATATTATCGTTCTTTATCACCATCAATGACAATTAAATTTTTGTTAGATCTATAAGTTATCATATTCTTAGCATGCCTTATTCCAAGTTTAAGGTATTTCAAGTCTTTATAAATCTAATAAAAGTGGCCATATACAATAATAAGAGCTCCTTAGTTATAAGTGTATACTGTTTCATCAAAATAAGATAAATCTTAGTTAAAGCCATCAATAAGTAATCCTTCATCATTCAAAAGTTAAGGTCTGCTTGTGATAAACTTATAATCAAATAAACTTTAGTTCAAAAATTTGGCTTCATTTGTTAGCAAGTACATTCTTTAGTTTAATATGATATTTAGAGTGGTCGAAATCATTGAGTAATAAGGATTTCTATCTTCAAGCTAAAAGATGTTGCCGTTTTTATCTCTATAAACTTCATTAATCTTTTCTATAATTTATCTTATACCTAGTTCATAATATTGCCCTGTGAAGTTGAGATAACTATCCTTGAAAGCAGGATCAATATCAATAGCATATAAAAGAGCAAGAGCAGCCCATCCATTATCATCTGAACCTCTGATATTTGCCCAAAACCATTGGTTTCTATGCTTTAAGGATTTTGAAAATAGAAGCTCATCAGGATTAAATACTTTATTTTCAATAAAAGCTCTTGTTTACATGTAGAATAAATTATTTGAAGCATTTCTAGGCAGTTTACTTATTAATTTAATTATTCTCATACTTGAAATCATGACCTA